GTGGGGGGGGGTGGGGATGGGGGGAGGCGGGGGGGGGGGGGGGGGGGGGGGGGGAGGGCAGTATAGATAGGTATAAGTGTATGCCAACTTTCTCAAGAGCCTACCATCAAAGTAGTATGTTAAATATCTTTAAATCATCTGTGAATGTTTTTGTTGGATGTTCTGTGATCTGGAAGAAAATTATCATCAAAACATTTTAAAATTTTGCCTAGAATTTAAGTCGGTAGAACAGGTAATACATTCTTTGAGTAAGGGTTATTGGAATTATCATAACTCACCTTCTGAAAATAAAGGGTAATTTGCAGGTTATGATATGAGCAAGGTTTTGCCTCCAAGAAACCATCACTAGTATGGTACGGCACCAGGTTTTTGATGCTGAAAGAAAAGTAAAAGAAAAAAAAAAAAAAAACACTCACCTAAATCTTTACTGATGCCTTAAAGCAGAAGTTTATTCTGCTTATATTTTGCTTTCCCTGCTTCCTCCCCCCCATTAACATGCTAATGAAATTTATTAAATAAAAACTTTCTGTTTTCATCACATACCTCATGTTAGACCCAGTGACATCATCATTGGTCCCTGAATAGTAAACCAAACGAACTTGCGCTAATGGAAATAGTAATAGTATAAAAATGTAAGAACTAGATTAAAATTAATAATATGACCCCGGAACTAAAATTGCATAATTTTTCTAAAACCGAAGGGAAAGGAAAGCTGCTGAACTCAGGCTAAATGCCCCCAGAATAATGGTGCAACAAAGCTGAAAGTTATTAGAAACATGAATTTAGGATTTTTAAGCTCTCAAATCTTCAAGACAAAAAACAAAAATAAAAATAAGTGAAATGTTCAGTTTGGTGAAGTGTCCAACGAAAAACCAAAGAAGAAAAAGCAGGCAGATCCCCTCTAGGGAATGCACTCACCAGATCCCTGATGATAGAAAGCCGTTAATCTTATCCAATGGAGACCGAAGATATGTGTCCTCTTCTCCCGTTTGGTAAAGCCTCAGGATACAGAACCCGCTTGCTTCTCCGAGATGAAGAGGTCAGGATCTTTACTATTAGGTCTCCTCTCCGGCCTTCCCTTTAGTCTTGCAGAGTTTTACAGGTTCCTCTCCTGTACTGACAATGCTTACTCTGATTTTACTAAAATCAGAATAAGCATTGTCAGTACAGGAGAGGAACCTGTAAAACTCTGACAATGCTTACTCTGATTTTAGTAAAAATCAGAGTAAGCATTGTCAGTACAGGAGAGGAACCTGTAAAACTCTGCAAGACTAAAGGGAAGGCCGGAGAGGAGACCTAATAGTAAAGATCCTGACCTCTTCATCTCGGAGAAGCAAGCGGGTTCTGTATCCTGAGGCTTTACCAAACGGGAGAAGAGGACACATATCTTCGGTCTCCATCGGATAAGATTAACGGCTTTCTATCATCAGGGATCTGGTGAGTGCATTCCCTAGAGGGGATCTGCCTGCTTTTTCTTCTTTGGTTTTTCGTTGGACACTTCACCAAACTGAACATTTCACTTATTTTTCTTTTTGTTTTTGTTTTTTGTCTTGAAGATTTGAGAGCTTAAAAACTCTAAGTTCATGTTTCTAATAACTTTCAGTTTATAGTTCGAATGAAAACAACACAGACTGTTTTATAATGTGGTATTTTTATTTATAATGTACATATATGACACATGTTTTCTGGATACCTTGATTTATTTTCCTTTGATTAAGGTGTATCTGTGACAAGTACTCACGACACTTGTTGACACACTTTGGTAACACAATTATTTTATACATATATTTATACAAATGCTTTTTAGTATTGCCTGACACGGAGGTGATATCAATCTGATCCTTACCGTTATCGAATTTCCTGAAGGGCATTTAGCGCTGTATATTTTGTTGCACCATTGGTCCCTGAATGTCTCTATGCAATGTAGGAAGATCATGGCTGGTGGGGGGAACAAGCAGGGAGCTGTACATAGCTTTCTGTAAACAGTAACGGCCACATGTGATGCTGAACCTCCATAAATGAAAGACATAAAATCTACTGAATGAAAGGGGTGGGCTAGGGACAGTAAGGCTGGGGAGAAAAGAGCTAGTAGATGCTGGACATCCTCCAGCCAGGGAATAAGGCAAACTCTACGTGACTTCTGCAGTTTGAAATGTACACACTGAGAAGATCACAGTGTCTAGTGATTAAGAGTATTCAATTTCAGTACATTACAGTTTTGTACAATTGTGCAAGACTGAAGGTAAGGCTGGGGATGAGCTTTAAGATGACTCTGTGTATAGGCAAAACATTTTTTTAGTGTTGGATAGATTTAGAACCCATGTCAGGTATTTTTTTGCTATCTGTGTCCTCTTGGAGAGAAACTCTAAAATGTTGGACTGCCCATTACTTTCTGTCTCGTAGACAATGGTCACTAGGGCAGAAGATAAGGAGAATCTCCCTAGCTGGAATAGACAGCAATAAAACTCTTGTAATTATACCTCCGTATACAAGAATATTGTCACTGCAATATTAAATTATTGTAATTACAGTCACCAAGACATTTCCCACATACTGTACAGTATATAAAATTGCAAAACCGCAACTGTAGCAAAAAACAAAATTTAAAAAAAAAGTCTTGGCTATACAAACACTTTTCTTGGCTTTTCTCAACCTTTTTACTTTGGCGGAACCCCTGAACTAATATTAAGGTATCTTATTATATATTATATATTTCAACAAGCTGGTGAAGGTTTAAAGGAGAACTATGGGGTCAGTGTTTTTCCCCATAGTTCTCGTTAGGGTAACGTGAGAATAAAGAATATGGCTTACCTAGAATATCTGACACCCAGAGCCGATCATTTTACAATACTCTCTTGCTCTATAGGACAATAATAATCATGAAAATAAATGAATATAAGAGACACAAACTGAGAAAATTGTAGTGTTCCCTTACACTAGTCACCCGTGGAAAATTGCCCCCTTACATTGGTGTAGAAATGCTCACTAGTAGCAGTAGTAGTAGTCATTGTAGGTGGAAGATTAGTCTCCATCAGGTGACTGCTCAACGAACCCATAACAACCCCTGGAGGGACCTTTAGGGTTCCATGAAACTTTGGTCCAGAATGCCTTTAATTAATTCAATTGAAGGCTTCATTTAAAGCCTCTAAGTCACTTCAGTCAAACAGATAAATACATATAATTGTTTTCAGTTTGTCTTCCAAATGATTAGTAATACCATAACTTTGTTGTAAATTCAGTATTGTTTGTTATTCCAGATATTCACTGAAATTGGAGCTACACAAAGCCTAAGGCGGATTGTTTGTTACTCAGCAGACTGTACAGTTTCTGCCCTGGCTAAAAAAGCCCTCCGGATGATGGGAGAAGAGGTCCCGTCCCGCATTGCAAGTTCAGTACCTAACTGGAAACCTCTGGAAGTTCAAAACTGGCTGCAGCAGATTGGCTTTGACAAATTTTCAAGGGCATTTATGGTAAGCTATGAGAGAATGACATAGACATCCATGTTGTCTGCCAGTGTATCTCCGTGTAACACTGTTCTGGTTATGACAGGAACATCAGATTGATGGTGACCTACTGCTGAGGCTGAGCGAGACAGACTTGAAGGAAGATTTGGGTATGACCTCCAGTATCATCAGGAAGAGGTCAGTTCATGCTTTGTAAAGAGGCATGACAGCCTAACCTGATACAAATATATTTCTGATCTATAAATAGATATCTCCATAATTAAAATGCACAGCCAGGCCTGTAACAGGGTGTTAGGCTTGTAGTTCTCTCTTTTCCCCAACTGCCCTTATGTCTTCTGCTTTTGGCTCCAGGTGCCATCTTGGGGAAGCCTGTGTCTAACGAGACACCAAACTGTCATGAGATTTGATTGGTCATCTTGGAGAGGCAGAAGGTTTCAAAGATCACTGATAGATGAGAGATGCCTAGAGGCAGAGACAGGTTCCTGGCAAGGAGGGACAGTGCAAGGATGGCAGTGGATGCTCTTAGAATCGGGTCGGCAGCTAAGAACATCTAGAGCATTCTCCAGCCTTATGGTCTGGCGCAATTCTGCGCACCTCATCTAGCTAGGACAGCACCTTTACAGCAAAGCCACCTTTAGAAGCCTCATGGGTCGACACTTAAGAAGCATGCCTCGAGAACCCTTCTGATATTAGTGTTCTGACTGATGTATCTAAGTGCCTTACTGTATAGAACTTAACTTTGGAGGAAGACTACCACATTGTTATAACTGCTAATTACTCTACATAAAAATGCTTAAAGGAGAAGTTCTGCCACACGGTTAGCCTCGCCCACAGGCTGAATATTTCCACCCAGTGGCCAAACAGGATGCCTTGGAACCTGGAAGTAGCAGAGTTGGAGGCGGTGGGGGACAGTCTGCATTGCACATCGCTGGAGAAGGGCACACTTGTAAGGTGTGTCATAATGTGCAATTATGCTGTCCATTCTTGCACATTATGGCAAACGCCTACCGAGCACATCATGGTTTAATTCCACTTTAAGACACAGGCTGCCGAAAAGGTACTCTAAGTATTAACGTTGTTCTGAACTGTCTGAACTTATTTTATTTCTCCATTTACAGGGTGACTTTAACTCATTTCTCACTACCTTGTCTTATAGTGACAATGATCAAGTGCTTTCCACCTCATTCATTAGTTGCATCATTATAATTGCTGATTCATCTGATACTGTGGTTGCATCTGACAAGTGGAAGCCCAGTAAATGCCTGCAGAGTGATAATGTAAAACGATAAAGGTCCAACAACAAGATGATCACCTGCCGGATTTGATTCAGAGCATAGTAAACATGGATGTCACCAATACACATTAGGTGACGCTTGACATAGTGGCCCATATATTATTATATTTTAACTAGGGATCCACCGATACCACTTTTTTAAGACCGAGTACGAGTACCGATACTTTTGATCAAGTACTCGCAGATACCAATTACCGATACTTTTTCTTAAGGAGGCAGGTCACAATTTTTCTAAAGCAATACAAACTAATGCTTTAAGGTCACTTTCTTAATATTATGATTCATGAGATGATGAGGGAGCATGACGCCGGCTTCCCGGCCAATCAGAATGCCGGGTGCTGCGTCATTACACGGCGCCCGGCTTCCGGATTTGCTAGCTTCCTGACCAATCGGGAAGCCAGCAGCGCGTTATTGCACGCTACCCGGCTTCCTGATTGGCTGTGAAGTCGGCTCCATGCTCTCTCATCACAAGTGACGAGAGAGCATGGAGCCGTTTCCTGGCCAATCAGGAAACTGGGCAGCGTGTAATAATGCGCTGCCCGGCTTCCTGATACAGGAAGTACTTGTGCTAGGTATCGGAGCATTTGAGCGAGTACAAGTACTCACCCAAATACTTGGTATCGGCACCGATACCGATACTAGTATCGGTATCGGTGCATCCCTAATTTTAACTAGTGTATTGGGTATGCTTTAATTTTTACAAATAAGATAGTAATTGGTAATTATTCTATTGGCCTTTTCTTTATCAATGTATATACATTTTATAAAGAACATTTATGTTTCTACGGATGTGTGTGTAAAATTTCTCAAGAGAGTAATAATAAAATATAATTTTAAAGGGCCAGTTAACCCAAAACTGAGATTTTCTTGACAGATGCTGGAAAGGGTCAGTAAAGGGTCAGTGCACCCAAAGGTGATAATTTAATTAGCAGTGGAACCTGCTTTGGCTATTCCAACAGCAAGGTCTCCTTGCAATATTTACTTGACTGGGTGCAAGTCCAAGGTACCCTTCACTCCCCACCTACAATTATGACACTGCACAAGCAATCAAAATTAACAAGTTTAGATAACATTGGAAGTGAGTGGACACAACAATGTACAATTATAATAACTAGAACAGAACAAGGAAAAACCTGTACATTACCCTAAACCTTACTAAATAACTCTTATCGTAAAGTGTAACTAAATTAAAACTGTATAACAATCAGTGTCATCTAAGGACCCTGCCAAGCACCAAACACTACTCCATAACAATGTACCAACCACCAGCCGCTCATTAACAAGCCCGAGTGGGTACGCCCATAAATCCGATTTCCCAGCTATTGGCGCTATTCAGCAGCCCCACCATCTCCACCTCTATAGATTCTGTCCCTTTTCCTTCTGTGGAGAGCCACATCTTCATTGTAGAAATGCTTTCACTGTCAGGCTCTGGTAAAGACACCTAGAAGAAAACCGACATTAGCCAATGGAAATGTAAAGATCTACTCCCCAGCTGAGCAAGTACTCACCCCAATTCTAACTAAAACCCCTGTATCCCTAATCCCAGTGTCACTCTGGTGACAACTCGCTATAAGAATGGCAACCAAACCCTCATATCTAATGGACGGATGGGTGGGACTTCACTTGCTCTTCCACTACACAATGGCACCCTGCCTACACAAGTTTAAGAAGAGTACCCCCAATTTCCTCCCACCAAAGGTAGCCCACCTATCATACACTATCCAGCCTTATCCCCCTCCTACTACACTAACTGACCATCCCACCACTCCCTTTTCAGACTCCTGCACTTACCTAATTCTCGGCTCTAGACTGCACTCCCCATGCCCCCCCTACACCTACAGCTCCATAGGGGAACTGACTTTGTACTGTCCATCCCGGAGTTTTGTGTGTTCCCACCAACCTCTGCATTTCCTAGTAACCGCTGACACATTCTCCATAGTATTAGATAAACCAAAAAATCAGAGCTAGGAACTCAAGTGCAGATATCTCACCAGTAGAGTCCCTAAAAGATATAAGAAGCTGTCAGGTGGTTTAATTTTTCAGCCAGTACCAAAACCTGAAATGTCAGTTGACTCTATACTTTCCATTTAAAGTATCACTCTTTCCCTTGGATCTATTTATTTTATATCCGAATGCCAAAGAAGGTTCTGTCACATGCAAAGGTGGGCAGAACACCCAGAACTTCTAAGTAGGCAAGAACAGAGAATGGAATTATGACAAGTAGAATTAAAGATACATTGGAAGCCTGGTCACATAGCATAAAAATTAGGGGGTGGTTTATAAAACTTCCACCCAGCCTCAGCTCCATCTAGTGGCGGGAATGCTGTAGGAACTGTATTCGCCCACCAAATGGCTGGGCAGAAGTTCTAAAAATTAACTGCTAAGTGTTTGTAATTTAATTGTGAATGTTTTAGGATTTTATTGGAAAACTTCATAGCTCAGTTATGGCTTATTTTAATCCAGGGCACATATGTTTACTGTTTTACCTGCCAAAGAATTTGTCATTTTGTTCAGTCAATCTTGTGACCTGCATTCTATGTCAAAAGTGTCCGTATCCCATTGTACTCCTAATCGGAATGCAATCCCAACTAGTAATGGGAGGATGCAACAGTGAATGCGGATGGCGCCGCACATCAATCCATAAATAGTCGAAGAAATCATTGACACTCCGAAGTTCAGAACGTCAGGTTCTTTTTATTCACATAGTGGTCTCATAATGTGTGGCAACGTTTCGGAACCCAATTCAGTTCCTTCCTCTGGCAAACAAAGTGCAAACCATGACAACACTGGAGAACCAAGAAAAATAAAACTACTTGTCTATTGTCTGGTTTATCTTTACTGGTTATTGAATAATTTCCCTGCTAAGGGGCCAGTCATTAAAATACATGCCACTTAACGCACAAAATAATAGGGCTTGCTGCATTTTTTTGCAGCCCACCAAAACACTTATTGTACATTGTGGTGTCCCGTAGAGCATTGTTAGAGTATGTTGGGGTGCCTTTCAAAATTGATGGCACCGAAAGCCACTAGGACATGTATAGTATGTTACTGTGCATTGCACAGTGTCCTGGTGTGACCAGCTTTCATATGGACTTAGGTATTGATGCTGATTACAGGTAACCCTGCTAAAGCCGGAAATAAGTCTGTCACCTGCCTTACTGTGGCTGTGCAGTGTGCCAGCTATGTGTAAACCACCGGACTGGCTGACTAGAGATACAAATCCTTTGAGTTGTTAAAACAGTAAACGTATACTGTATATGTATTTCAATGGCATATTTGGTAGTTTGCTTTGAGTTCCACATTGACCTATCCCTGATATTAACCCCTAACACTTAACCTACCTCTGATGCTTTACTGTTCAACTAATCCTGTTTCAGCTAGTCAGCTCCCTTGCTTGGAGTAACTGGCTTGCAGCTGTTGCCTGACTTTTGAGCAATAATAACTGTGTAAACTGTATATTTTCGTGAATATTATTAGTAACGTTTGTAGGTCAACTTGTAATTATATAATATATATATATGAACTTCATGTTTGAGGTTCCTTTTACTCATTGCATTTGATAGAGTTTGAGGAACTGGTACAAATATCTCTCTAGTTTCTGAATGACCACATCATTTCCTTTCTACAGGTTTTTACGTGAACTTGTAGAGTTGAAGACCTTTGCAAACTACTCTACGTGTGACCGCAGTAATCTGGCTGACTGGCTGGGCAGTCTGGAGCCTAGATTTAGGCAGTACACTTACAATCTGGTCACATGTGGCATTGACCGCAACTTCCTGCATCATGTGACTGAGCAGCAGCTAGAGAAGGATTGTAACATTAACACCGGCTTCCACCGAGTCCGTATATTAAATGCAGCAAGAGGTGAGACCTTTAGAATGATTATTCTTAGTTTGTAACTGTAGCAGACATTAATAATATTATTATCATTGATATCAAGACATGTGCATTGCCTTTGCGTGAAGAGAGTTCATGGCCCATATCCGTGAAAATGGAAAAACCATTAGGTACTAAAACTCAATTAAGGGCATCATTTTTCCTCCACTGGTCCCCATTGTACCCCTCTTCCTCTACTAGTCATCTCTGACCTCCTGCACCCCTCTCCCTCTACTGATAACCTCTGCACCCCCTGCACCACTGTCTCTTTAATGGCAACTCTGCGCCCCTTTTCCAACTCTAGTCACCTCAGTCCGCCATGCACCCCTCCACCACTACTGATCAGCTCCGCAACCCCTGCATTCCTCCTCTACAGACCCTAGCTAATGCCACTCTTTATAGCCAGTTAAGCATGTGCCTTTCCCTTACTATATACAATGTTGAAGCCTGTTTTTCCCCTACTCCGCCACAGCCTCTGTAAGTGGAGTCAGGCCAGCAGCAGGTAGAACAATGTCAGATACGATTTCTGATAAAGTTAGGTAACTACTCATGATACTCATCATTAGATTAGCACCAAGTCATTTGTTCTGTTTCATATGAACACCTCTCTTGCACCTATGGTGATATCTGCACCCCCTTCCACCACTGCTCACCCATGACTTCCTACACTTTTCTTCCACCAGTATTAAACTCTGCTTCCCCTGGACCTTTCTTCCACCACTGGTAGCCTCTGCTCTCCCTGCACCCCTCTGACTCCACTGGTCACCTCTGCATCCCCTCTTCCACCACTGGTCAAGTCTGAAAATGTCGAAGCCACAGGGTTCACCTTGGTTCTATGATAGTGGTGAACCTGAACCCCATCCTACTTCATAGCTTAACTAAGCTGCTTCTTCAGTTCAAATGAGTATCAGGAACATACCCCAGCATGTTACCAGTGTGGATGTAAATACTGGGGTGTGTTCCTGATACTCATTAGAACGATAGAACCAGCATGGATATATGGAGAAATGGATACATAGTAGTGTAGTACTAATACACAAAAGGACAATGAGATGATTACATCTGACCTGCATATTCACATGGCTTTGCTGTTTGTGTTCCCAGCATACCGGCAGCATAGACAGTTTAAGCAAACAGGTGACCTGGTTTAACACTGATAAATCTCAAGGGTAGCCAATGTAATATTTATGTATTTCTAGACTTAAAGGAGAACTATGGGGTCAGTGTTTTTCCCCATAGTTCTCCTTAGGGTAACGGGAGGACACAAACTAGCGTCCTCCTATTACCCCAAGCTCAGTATAACGCGAGCTACAGCTCACGGTATATTGAGACGCCGCACCTGGAGCGGATCCTGACGTAGATGACGGGATGGGCCCAGCTGCGTGAGTGACAGCTGGCTCTGCCTACCTAGAGGCAGAGCCAGCTGTACCCGCCCCTCCCCGTCCGTTCCGCCAGTCAGCGCCTGCAGATCGGAGCGGGGAGAGGGGAATCCAGCCCCTCCCCCTGTCACGGCAGAGAGCCGTGACAGGATCGAGAGGTGAGGGAACCCGGTATGTGTTCCCTCACCTCTCGATCTACTGAGCCGACCTGTGACAGTCTCATTGTCACAGGTCGGCTTAGAACTATGAGGTGAGTGGAAATCACTCATCTCATAGTTCTCCTTTAATCTTTAGTTTTAACCAGAGTCTTGCTTTAAATACTGTAAATTGTGTGTAAGCTTTATGTAATGCTGTAAAATAACATGACATTCTTGCCCATGACAGAGATGCTGCACTCCCCCCTGCCATGCAGTTTGGGTAAATCAAGTTATGATGGCCCCGATGTCTTTATCAGTTACCGGCGGAGCACTGGATCACAGTTGGCCAGGTATGTGATAGAATTCAATATTTCTGTATTTCACATATCCATTATCGTGGACAGCATGGAAGCTTAGTAGTTAGAACCATGGTCTGGTAGCACAGAGGTTCTGGAACCATTTATCACTAGGGACCCTATCTGCATAGATTGTGTATGTTCTCTTTTGGTTGGATTTCCTCTGGGTGCTTGGCTTACCTTTTACCTTTAACCCTGGTGTGTATATTTGCTTTGATGACTGTGATGGGGACATTAGAGAATGTTCTTTTATTGGGACAAGGACTGATGTGAATGGTTCTTTGTATTCTGAAAAGTGCTGCTAAGTAAGTGCTATAGAAAGGTTAAGGATAATCTCTGTTTTCTTCCAGCCTCCTGAAGGTACATTTATATCTACACGGCTTCAGTGCATTTATTGATGTAGAAAAGCTGGAGGCAGGGAAGTTTGAGGACAAACTGATTCAGAGTGTGATCAGCGCAAGAAACTTTGTCTTGGTTCTTTCTGCTGGAAGTCTGGACAAGTGCATGGGGGACAATGACTGCAAAGACTGGGTACATAAGGTACGTGACAGAATAGCTTGGATATTTCCAATGATCCTCAAAGTGGAACTTTAGCCAAGCCTTTCCCAATTAAGGCTAATAATTTATCAGGATAAACTTCAGCCATCCTTTCCTCAATGAAGACTTGCCATTTCTGATACAATGATGGGGGTAAATGCCCCATTGAGAAAAATGGGGTTCCCTTGAGCGTTGTCACACTTTGGGAAGTGTACAACAAAATGCTCAGGTGTAAGTGAGGCTTAAAGGAGAACTATGAGATGAGTGATTTCCACTCACCTCATAGGTCTAGCCGACCTGTGACAATGAGACTGTCACAGGTCGGCTCAGTAGATCGGGAGGTGAGCGAACACATACCGGGTTCGCTCACCTCTCGATCCTGTCACGGCTCTCTGCCGTGACAGGGGGAGGGGCTGGATTCCCCTCTCCCCGCTCCGATCTGCCAGCGCTGACTGGCGGAACGGACGGGGGAGGGGGCGGGTACAGCTGGCTCTGCCTCTAGATAGGCAGAGCCAGCTGTCACTCACGCAGCTGGGCGGATCCCGACGTCTAAGTCGGGATCCGCTCCGGCTGCAGCGTCTCAGTATACCGCGAGCTGTAGCTCGCGGTATACTGAGCTTAGGGTAATGGGAGGACGCCAGTTTGTGTCCTCCCGTTACCCTAAGGAGAACTATGGGGAAAAACACTGACCCCATAGTTCTCCTTTAAGGCTTTCAATGCCATCTGTGTTCTCACTGGGGAGGTGTCACCTCACTTTCTGTTTCAATGACAAAGAAAAGGGATGGGAAAATCCCTCAAACAGGAATACAGCAGCAATACAGTACAAATACTTTTTGTGATTGATTTTCGAGTCTGATAGTTGTCACTGGTTTCTGCTCTTTGCAGGAGATTGTCACAGCATTAAACTGCAGCAAGAACATTGTGCCAGTTACTGATCACTTTGATTGGCCAGACCCAATGAGTCTCCCTAAGGACATGAGAGCAGTGTTGAAGTTCAATGGCATCAAGTAAGTTTTACTTTTTACAGCATGTATCAAGAATAGGATCTATGTTGTTAACAGCATGCAGACAGTTTTAAACGGGGCATTAATTGCTAGTGGACAGTGGAAGACACCTATAAAGCAAAACACTTCATGATAGAAGCTTTTATGTTCAGACATGGCATTTAGCAGTCTATTCTGTGTTCATTATTCATTTTAATGTGTTAAATTATCACATTACCAGATGGTCTCATGAATACCAGGATGCAACCATTGAAAAGATTATTCGCTTCCTGCAAGGCCGCTCCTCTCGAGATTCTTCTGTTGGCTCTGAGAACAGTCTAGATGGTACTCCACCTTTAGGTGAGAAGTAGAACACAGAAGCCAAACTCCTGACAAGTGATACCTGTAGGATGTTCCTGTGCCTGTTTGTAGTACCTGGCCTATTCGTGCTGTGCTCTGGGGTAACTCCCACTTTTCTTCAAGCTTTCCGCTCTTCCTGCTTGGTCTTTTCCTTTCAACACCTTCAACTTTCTCAGGAGAACTAAGAGAACCTACAGTGCTGGTAAATAGAATCATTCTGTAGCATGTATGCACTAGGGTTACATGGATTATACTATCAAAGATCACATTTTACTCAAGCACCATCAGCCGAAAAACAGGGTCTATCTTGAAATGCATTTACTTATTAGGCTTGATGCCTGTTCCAGATAAAACTTCAGAAGTCGCTCTAGGCAGTACTGGCTATTATCAGGATCTCACCCAAACACCTTGTGGTATTTCACAGACAACTGCCAAGCAGTTATTAAATCAGGATGTGCAGATCATTTCCTGGTAGTGCTACCAGAATTATAAGATGTTATTTGGGATCTGGAACAAAATAAATGTCCTATACAGCACTATCAAGGAGAATATAGGATCTCCAGCTCTTCATAATACATACCTTGACTTTCAGTCTATGTCTATATACTGTATTGAGTTATTCTTAAGGTAAACTGTGCAAAACATTTATGAACAGTCCGATTATGAATCTTGGAGGATTGACAATTATAATACAAAATAAAATGTATGTATATAATCAAAAACATTTCTGAACACTGAATGATGTTTCTTTGCTAAATATTTTTCCTGTTTGATCAACATATAATGGAAACAGGCAAACAGCAAAGTTCAGAATGGAAATACACTGTTCCTATCCTAACTTTCTATATCACCTGCCTGCTGATCAGACAATAAATCAGCTTCAATATACTAATGAAGCTAAGAAGATAGCAGTCATGCAGTGCTTCTGTATTAAATTGAGAATCTGTACGATAACCTTATGTTGTAAGGTGGCCCGAGGCCTATGTACCAGGCAATGGGGATCACTCGAACCCTAGTTATGAAAATATTGAAAACAACTAGCTTCCTGATCCATAACTAATCTGCTCCTCCCTGCACCTTTGCATCCTTATGGTTTGCCATAAGCAGCTTTACTGGCCAAAAAGAAGGCATGGGGTTAGGAACCAATGGGTCAGTAATTGATTAGGTAGCTATGAAGTCAATATTTTCATAATGGAAATAAACACATAAACTGAGCCAGCAAGTGGGAAACTGGAGGTGCATGCTTTATAAATCTTGGGTCAGCTTAAAAAGTAAGATAAAATATAAGCCCAAAGCCTTAAATCAGGCATTGGCAGGTTCTGCAAAGATCAAATTTTGTGTCTTTCAGATGAAAGAGGAGGCATTGGACTTTCCGATATCACCAACCTATTTAATGGCAGCATAACTGTGTTGACTAATAGACTAGTGCAGGCAGACAATAAGTCCTATTGAAGCCATTATTCTTACAGATCTCTTTTATGGGACTCCCATCATATCATGAACCTATGCCACCTAACATTATAATACACGCAATCATAGAAACAGCCTGTCTATCTTGGCTACGATATTTAAGAAGCATAATATCTCATCTATTCCTGTTCCGACCGTAATCCCTTGTTCTAATATTACTTTCCACCCTAGACTGACTGGATGGTCCTGTTTTCCAGTTACTCATTCCAAAGGGACATTTTATATCCTCACACTTTGTCTGTTACAAGGAAATGGAAAGTCCACTTAAATGACAGCTCTGAACTACCTGTCTACATATAGAAGATCCACTGACCACCCTGTAAATAAAGGTATATAAAGAGTGCAGCCCTGTAAATAAAGGTATATAAAGAGTGCAGTCCTGTAAATAAAGGTATATAAAGAGTGCAGTCCTGTAAATAAAGGTATATAAAGAGTGGCCAACAATGCAGCGACTTAAGAGGAAAAAAACCCTAGAATTCTTGCATGATTTTGAGAACCCAGCTCCGTAGTGGTGAGGCTCAGTGATGTCACTTACACCTCCTGGAAGCGTCATAAGCTGCAATCCAAGGTATATATATACACAATATCTCACAGAAGTGAGTACACCCCTCACATTTTTGTAAATATTTTATTATATAATTTCATGTGAGGACGCAGAAGAAATGACACTTTGCTACAATGTAAAGTAGTGAGTGTACAGCTTGTATATCAGTGTACATTTGCTGTCCCTTCAAAATAACTCAACACATTAATAACAAAATAACTCAACACAGCCATTAATGTCTAAACCGCTGGCAACAAAAGTGAGTACACCACTAAGTGAAAATGTCCAAATTGGGCCCAAAGTGTTAATATTTTGTGTGGCCACCATTATTTTCCAGCACTGCCTTAACCCTCTTGGGCATGGAGTTCACCAGAGCTTCACAGGTTGCCACTGGAGTCCTTTTCCACTCCTCCATGATGACATCACGGAGCTGGTGGATGTTACAGACAGTGCGCTCCTTCACCTTCCGTTTGAGGATGCCCCGCAGATGCTCAATAGGGTTTAGGTCTGGAGACATGCTTGGCCAGTCCATCACCTTTACCCTCAGCTTCTTTAGCAAGGCAGTGGTCGTCTTGGAGGTGTGTTTGGGGTCGTTAGTAGAGCTGCAACAGTTAATTGATTAAGTCGATTAAAATCGACGATTGAAAACGTTGGCAACGTTTTTGATTGTCAATTCGTCGGCTATCGATTGCTTAGCCTGTTTGGGGCTCTTCACACGGCCTGAGTCGCACGTCACGCGTCACACGCTGCTCCCATGAGGACATGCGTCTGGCCCTCTCCTCCCGGCGAGCTTCCCAACTCGCCGCTGCCCGCCGACAACACCGCCATTCAAAGTAAGTCGAGATCAGCTGGAAGCTTTTTAATGTTTCCTGTTGTGGTTTTTTTTTTTTTAAGCGGCACACTGCAGAACATTAGTAGCTATAGAGGAACAACAAACAGCCTGTATAATGTATTATTGCTGGGATTTGTAGTCCTCTATACATGTTGAACTTCCAGTGACCAGTATGAGAGAGTGAGAGCGATAACACCAAATTTAACACACCTGCTCCCCATTCACCCCTGAGACCTTGTAACACTAACGAGTCACATGACACCGGGGAGGCAAAATGGCTAATTGGGCTCAATTTGGACATTTTCACTTAGGGGTGTGCTCACTTTTGTTGCCAGCAGTTTAGACATTAATGGCTGTGTGTTGAGTTATTTTGAGGGGACAGCAAATGTAGACTGATATACAAGATGCACACTCACTACTTTACATTGTAGCAAAGTGTCATTTCTTCTGTGTGGTCACATGATATGATATGATAAAATATTTACAAAAATGTGAGGGATGTACCGTATATACTCGAGTATAAGCCGTCCCGAATATAAGCCGAGGTACCTAATTAGAGTGCTGCAACACTCTCTGTCCCTCTCACCTCTTCACCCACCAGGTGACCAACTTTATATTTAGGCTCTAACCCGCTTAGGCACTTAAAAATAATATATATACATATTGGTAAATACCCGTGAGGGGCAATAAAAAACATCATCAGCAATAAAAACCTGACCGGGGCTTTAACCCTTTACTCTCTATCCTAAAAAAAAGGGTCGGTGTTTGTGCTGAAAATGCCTCCAGAGGCAGTAAAAATCACCCTGTGCCATTGTTAATGTTTAAAATCACATTTCGATTTTGTTTTCATACACTTATTAAAGCATTTCCTGTTGTTATATATGATCAGTGTTTATGAGTTATATACTCACCTCTCCCTAATCCAGTGAAATATGCCATGCAGTTTGTTAGCATTGTAGAAACTCTCAATAGGATTTAATGACAAGGAGCTGGTGGTGCAGACAAGCTGCACAGCCCATATGTTGCTGGATGCGGGCACTACAACAGAAGTGTAAGATTGAATGTATTAAAGGTAAACTTTATGTGGATTTAGAATATGTCTAAGTCTTCCTGCGGCAGTATGATGGGAGCAAACGTCCAGATTTTTTTTCGGGACTAAACGTTGTACTGAAAGACATGTGGGGACTCACGTTGATGACCTCCACCTGATAAATCTAATTGCCTGGTTGTGTCTTCCTTTGAATTGTATCTAAACCCCAAAATAAAAATCTCATATATTGCAGCTTACCAGTCCTTAGATGAAGTTGCTGCATTTGTTTTCTATTTTTACATTTCCAGGAAAGCAAATAGTGTCTAAATACAAGAGGGATGTATATTCTCACTTGGTGAATCTTGGAGTCCTTTATGTATTTCCTCCAGATCTGTGCAGTAATCCAGTGTGAAACTTTCCCTTTGTGCAGGAGCTTCCTGTAATAAAGACCGGTCACTGCTGCTGTCTCATCCTATGCAGGGTGACTGGTCTTGTCTCCGCCCCTCCTATAGTTTTCTGCAGGTAGACTGTAGTGGGTGGGGCCTGGCACAAGCTATATTATCACTACTTTTATAAGGTGATATCTGGCTTTGGAAAGGCATTTGTTACACTCAAAGTTTGTGGTTAAGGAGGCAACATTAAATGAATGTTTTGTGCCTGAATTTCAGCTTTAAGGTTGTTCCCTTTATTTTCACCTGGTAATCCTGTGCATAACACACTTCCTGTTCCTTCATGTCTACACCTACTCCTCCGCTATATCTCTGGAGGGAGCCATGGTTGTCACCCAGGCTGGACTTCAAACCTGCCTGCTTCTCTTCATCTCCATTGCATGTGAGGTGGGGTGATCAGTGGTTTATAGAAGGAACGTGACAGTGTTTATCATTTCTGTTTAGCTCACAGGAAGTGACAAGGACACTATATTTCTAGCAACATCAACAGGTCTATTCTGTACTTGCTGAAACTGTGTTTAGTTCAAAACATGCAAACTAATGCAGCCACCACATCTAAGAACTAGAAAGCTACGAGTTATATATATATATATATATATATCCTTTCAGTACAAACAAGGGAAATGTAAAGTGTAAACTCCTGATCTTCAGGTTTGTTCGGGGTCTGGGATTTTAAGTACTCAAAGTGACCAGATCAGTTTGACAGCCAGGAATTTCCAGAATCAGAGGTCAGCTGATCTTCATGCAAAGCAGATCGCCTTTATTAGGTGTAATAGACCCTTAAAAGTCTCAAGCAGACAGCAATTAGGTGCCTTCAGGAAAAGTAACTATAGTAGTCAGGAAAAGTCTATTCCCCTTTGTTACTGGATAATAGAAGGCCTCTTGTGGTGTCCTGTTTAAAGCAGACACAGGAATAAACTTGAAGATTAACACTGCTACTTGCACAGTATTGTTACCCTATACATTTTTCAAGCCTTAACATCTTCATCTTTATGCCTCCTCATCATTTCCCATCATTACTTAGAATCAAGTGAAGGGGTGACGTTGGCAGTAGTGACTGCAGATAATTCAAGTCTTCAAATCTTTTTTTTTTTTGGAAGAATGGTGATGGCTTAGAAATGAAGAAGATTCATTTCTATATTTTACATTTTGAGTCATCACTAGAACAGAATTAAGTGATACATGTTAATATGGGGACACTTGTTCCAGTGACCACTATTTAGGTAGCGACTTGCAAGTGAAAGAAAATCTCACCCAATGGGGGACAGATGGCAAATAAACAAGAGGTTTTAAACATTTCCAACTGTCTACAAAATGGCTTTAGGTTTTTAAGAAGTCTCATAAGCATAGAAAAATAAAATGCAAGTCTATAGATTCATTTAGAAACTGTTCTATATAGAAATGTTGAATGATTGTGCAGACAATCTCTTATTCCATTCCTGTCTGTTAGCTCCACCCCTGCCACAAGCCCTATTTGTGGGCATTCATTTTACAGTCATCAAAAAAAAAAGCACCCCAAACCCATTTCCTCTGTACTTTTGGCCAACAGTGTACCAAAATATTGTACTCTCAGATGGGTCTTTTTCCCGAGGTGCATTATTTTGCATTCAGAACCATTGAACGGCAGTTTTCACTGCTTTGACCAATCTTCCAGCAATGCCAAATCATGTTCTATGTTACAAACACCTCCAGGAATACAAGTCCTATTGTACACCTTTGTATCACCTGCAAAAAGACACACTGTATCTTGTCCACCAAACCGTCAGCTAACTCACTTACAAAAAGGTTACAAAGGGCAGGGCCAAGTATAAAGCCTTGTGGTACACCACTAGTGACTGGTCCCTGTTCTGAACTAACCCTTTTTACAGCCATACTCTGATATTTATCCTTTAGCCATATTCACTGAACCACCCAAACGTTAAGTCCTAGCTTGTCCAACTTATTTCTGAGATCAGCATGTGGAGCTATATCAAATGCGTTGCTAAAATCCAGATAGACCATGTCCATATGCCCACACTGGTCCAAAACATTTGACACATCCACAAAAATGAAATCAGATTAGTGACATGATCTGCCCTCAGTAAAGGCAGCCTGCTTCCGGTCCAGCAATTTGTGTATGTCTTCTACAAAGCAGCATGGTCGCACAATAGTGGGGGGAGGGGTGTGTCAACCACGCTAACTCTAGGTCTATTGCACCAAAAGAAATGGGGAAAAAGTGCTACATGCACTCTGTCCCATGGGGCCAGAATAAATAAAATGTGTGATGAAACTTCTTCTTTATGGAACTTGCAACTGAAATCTTTGTAAAAATCGAGTGATGTATCTAGTATGAAGGGTTTGAGCACAGAATAAAACCAAAGGACTGGAAGTAATGTGTCCCCCCCCCCCTCCTTAGCTCAGGAGGCATTCGAAAGCAGTGCTATGATAGTAATATTGGTTAAGTGTACCACTACCCAAGACCAGAGGCACTAGTACAAAATGTAAAAAAGTAAAAAGATGATGACAAATCAGTGTAAATAATTGTATTCAATTATTGTATATGTCTAACTCTCAGCAACCAAACCACCTTTATATGATCCTCATGTAGACAAACTGGAGGGATGCATTTCTCATGCCAACCTGTCAGGTCTCTAAATGAATCAAAAGATCAATTGCCTGTGAGAGAACAGGTAGTATACTCTCCTCTCCTACAACCTTTGTCTCCCACTTCTGCTACATGCCAACACTGAAGCCTCCATCAATCTCTTTAGAATTTGACACACAACAGGGCACAGAGGTACCCAACACTTACGGACTTGTCAACACACACCACTGGATAAATATACTACCTAGTTTTTCTGCATGAAACTGGCCCTTTGATAAATGTAAAGACTTGATAGGGTCTCTTGAAATTATTATCACTTTGTTTTTTGTTTCCTGTTCTAAAAAGGAAGGACAAATGGAATCTTATTAATTGGCGTCTCCCCTCTCCGCCTCCATCTCTTTCATTCCCCCCCCCCACCCACTTTGATTACATGAGGCTCTGTATTCTATAATGGGTAATCAAGACCTTGAGGTAACCAGACTGCCTTTATCCCAGCCTGTAGAATTGATATTCAGGTAGGAATCCCTGTATCGTAGCCTTCCCAAGACTGTACGTTTTTTTTTTTTCTATTCTGCGCGTTAAGATTTAAAATTACATTTTTGAATTGTTCTGCAGTCTTGCTATTTGAATTAAAGCTTACCTGTAATTCTGAAGTACAAGCATATCAATAAAATGATAAACTACCACCGTTTCCAATTGTGTTAATAATAATTCAGAACATTGTGTTCAGCTCTTTGCATGTGGTTTTGTACAGAGAATTGCACTAGTGCATGAGGTGTTAAATACCCAGTTATACAATACATTGAATAGAAGTCTTATTTCTTTCTGCCTGTATACAGCCACTAAGAACATACATTTATCATCGCATGGTGCAGCGGAGGTTCCATCACAGGCCAATTGGGGAGCTTTCTCAGACTGTTATAGAGGAGCCAATGCATGCTTTCAGTAGAACTGCAATCAGCTTTTTGGAGGGTAGAATGGGGAAAGGTTATAACCTCTGTTATGTTTTTTTTATTGCCATGTCCTCTTTGGATTCCTATGTGATTGTGGTTACTAAGAATACAACAGGTTTATACAGTTACCTTTAATCCCTTTTGGGTTCACTAAATGGAACAGAGGAAATCTCAGATGGGACAGCAATAATACACCGACAGCAGTTCTAATCCTTCCCTTTTGTAACAAAAAAAAAGAAGAGGTTTGGCTGGAGTTGCACTTTAAAGTCGTCGTCGTCCCAGCAGGAGAAAGCTTAAAAGGAGAACTATGAGGTTAGGGCTTTTATCCATAGTTCCTCTTAGGGTAATGGGAGGACACAAACTAGCATCCTCCCGTCACCCCAAGCTCAGTATACTGCGAGCTACAGCTCGCGGTATACCGAGACGCCGCAGAAAACTGCAAGCTGCAGCTCGCGGTATACTGAGACGCCGCAGCTGAAGCAGATCCCGACGATTATGTCTGGATCCGTCCCGCTGCGTGAGTGACAGCTGGCTCTGCCTATCTGGAGGCAGTGCCAGCTGTACCCGCCCCCTCCCCCGTCCGTTCCGCCAGTCAGCGCTGGAGGATCGGAGCGGGGAATCCAGCCCCTCCCCCTGTCACGGCAGGGAGCAGTGTCAGGATCGAGAGGTGAGCGAACGCCGATATGTGTTCGCTCACCTCGCGATCTACTGAGCCGACCTGTGACAGTCTTATTGTCACAGGTCGGCTAGAACTATGAGGTGAGTGAAAAGCACTCACCTCATAGCTCTCCTTTAACCCTTGCAGTGGGACTACCCCCACACTGCAAGAGTTAACTGCAAATTTGTTTTCTAGGATACAAAAAAAAAACCTAGGACCGCTCTTCCCCTGCAGGGGTCCAAGGACCCATAAATCATCACATTCTATACACAGTGTATAGAGGCGGGGAGGCTGAGAAAGATTCCAATGCTGCAGCGGAGAAGACAGGCTGGAGACAACTGTGACAGCTGGCCAGCTCGGAACTCCGGGTGAGTATAACTTTTTTTATTTTAGACCCTAGACAAAAATGTGGTAGCCTTACTGCAAGGGTTAAGAAACCGTTTTCCTGGAGTTCTCCTTTAAAAAGGTGAATGCCCTGCCAGAGAGTTTAGTATGAAAAGTAAATGAAGTTGAATATTTTCATTCATTATCTGTGTTGATCCTGTGAAAGGTTACTACATTCATGTTTCTGAAGGTGCATGCTCTTTGCCTGTCATCCTTAACCTGGCGTTCTACTTAGTAAGTCGCTGACCTAAAAATAAACACGTGCATCTGTGTATTCCAATACCTTAATATGTGTGCCTGTTCCTGGTCAGTTTAAACAAGGATGTTATCAGCACGACAAAGTCCAAGTCCATGCAAATCAATTTATTGATCGATGTCATGTCGAGGTCCCCTTCATCAGGCTCAAAGAGAGGTCTACTTTTAGCCTGATGAAGTCCCCTGTGTGGCCCCAAAAGCGCTTGACAATCAATAAATGGATTTGCACTGACATGGACTTGGTCGTGCTGGTGTGCTGATTACATCCTTGTTTAAAGTTCTATTGTGTGCGGCGCCATCCGCAGTCATTTCGAGCACCCATAATCTCATTGGGATTTCCGGTAAGGAGTGCTACAACATTCATGGACACTTGTTCCTGGTCAGTGACTCACTTAGTAAAGAAAGGATAAAGATGACAACCCGTGGAGCATACAACTTAATAAGTCAGTTCTATTTCTAATCTGTCCAATACCTTTGAATTAATTTCAACAAAATCAGTCAGGTTTTTACAAAGCAGTCGAGCAGGCAGAACCAGAGCGCTGTGTATCGAAGGAAAGTTTTACAAAGAGTAAAACGGAGGTCATTATTCTCTTCCTGAAAATTGACTTATGGATTTCATCTACCTCCATCTCCTGACAGGGAGAGGACCCCACAGAGGTCAGTGGTAATATACTACACAGGGGCAGCCAGGAGAGAGAGACTCTTACTGCAGGATGTAAACAAAGGAGACTGGGCCTGTCAGAACTTGGTAAGTGTGCAATGTGTGCGAGGGGGGTGGGGGTGGGTGGGATCGGTTCGGTCAGCCTAAAGGAACCAAAAGAATAAGTGCACTTTAAAACGGACACAGTGGAGACCGAACCAAACCGAATACCCAAAACAGTCACATGGCTTTTAAACATCCCAAAGCAGGCTTTTCAAAACGGCAAATGACTCAATAGAGAAGTGGAAATGATATTTTCACATCTTTAAAAACACAATATCTCTCCATCTGAAATCATATAACTAGGGCTACAGGTTCTGAGCAGGCACTGTGTTTACAATGTTTGTCATGAAGATTAAAAAGAAGCTAATATAAAGATCCTTTAAAAAAAAAAAACCACACCTTTGTTTGATTCTAATTCACAGTAAGGTTACAGAAGATACAAAAATGAAAACAAAACAAAAACCATTCATAATAACCAATACATTTGTTTAATCCCCAGTAACCCAACACATGAATTTCTGAGAGGCTTGCTGAGATCACTGCGGCCACTAATGGTGTCTCAACGTCGATATAAAACAATTACTGTGTGAAAGGCAGGGGCGGCACATTGTCAAGTTGCTGCCATGCTACTGGAAGCCATTGTCCCAAAATTTGTTAATCTCTCATCAGGAGTCCGTGTCCGAGCCGGAACTGCTCTCCCGGCTGATTTCAATCTGTAAGGAAGGGAGGTTGTCCAGACGGCTCTTCTTCTGTCGGATCTGTTCCTTCTCCTTTATTAAAGCTCCCCAGGCCTGCTGCAGTACAGTGTCTTCCTCTTCTGGTGCCACACTGGCCTTTTCTTCCTTCTCTTCTGCTCGCTCCTTTTCTTTTGGTGCTGTTCCCAAACGATTCCATAGGCTTCCTAAAATAGAAGGTGTTGTAAAATATTGTTCAAAATAATCTGACCGAAAGTTCCAGTATTGGGGAAGGTATCTGAGTATTTGGGCGAGTACGAGAACCCTACCAAATACTCGTTACTGGTACAGATACCGATACTAGTAGCGGTGCATGCCTAGTTCAAATGATACAAACATTGGCCTCAGCTTTCCTATTTAGCCATTACTATTCTCTACGGTCTTACATAGTTTGATTAGGTTCATTTACCATGAAATCATTACTGGTTGTATTAAAAAGAGACCCTGTTGCCAGATCATTTATGTCATCAAAAATACACAATAGGAGTTGTGTCATTGTCACTTACCAACGTGCCCTGTGTGCAAATGGTTCTTTTAAAACATTTTTTATTTTATTTTCACTTTATTGCTATCACAAGCTCCCCATGTAATAGCATCGTGCAGGTGACAGGTTCTTTATAGAGGCATCGGTCTATATTGTGTCATTGTGCAACTGACCTGTTTTCTTCTCCTTGCTGTCAGAATAAAGACCTTTTCCTTCCATTTGTTTTGGCAAACCAAGCCGACTGTGCACGTCAGATACTGGTTCTCTGCGAGGTGTAGGAATGTGGGTGGACACTTTTCTGATTTCCGGGGAATGCGGTCTCTTTCCAAGCCTCTGCCGCACATCTGTATGGATAAAAAGGCAAACATGTGATTGAGCCATCACCTAAACACTAAATCCCATCTCGTGTTTCCGCAAGACAGATTTGTCCCCTGGAATGCCCTAGTCATGGTGACTTGTCTCTCACCGGTCTTCACGATACCAGATTTTGTTCCAGTTGCGGTCGGTCTGCTCGATGTACTCTGCCTCTTCTCCTCCAGTAACAGTCGGATGTCCGCAGGCTTCTCAGAATGGGATTTACCACCGATACGGTTTTTCACATTGCTTCCAGAGTCAGATCTCATTGAGTTCCTAGAAAACGATACAAGAGTATTTAAAATCTATGGTGGTTCCCGACCTTCACTAACAAGACTGTACTGTGGTGCCTGACCAAATTATAATGGAACTTGATATCAATTTTGCTCTCAAAGTAACCCTGTAGATTCTTCTAGAAGGTAAAATGAAAGGTATCATCTATTACCTAATATCACACATTCTAAGTAGGTTACATTATCATTTAAAGAGAAATTCCAGGCAACAATTAAAAGCAAATCAGCGAGCTATGAACGGTGTGCAGCAAACACTGCAGCAGTATCAGAAAGTTCACTCAATTTACCTTATTGAAGTTTTCTGTACTGCTCTGCTATCAGCCCACATATGGCTCACAGAAGCTATACAAAGGAGTCTACTTCCTGATTCCTGTCCTGTGTAAATGCCATTTAAACTCTTGAAGCAGGATTAAACAGAATTGGTGACTGTGAAAAACGTCAAAGTGCTAACTTCTGTAGGAGAAACAGCTAAAGCCTGCAGTGGGTGTGTTTGGGAACGTCTCTGTTACATCTCAATCAAGGGTTCTCAAATCACAGACAATAAAAGGAATGGGTGAAATGGTGCACTACTGCAATGCCTGGATGAAAACCCTCAAGTACTGAGGAAGCAGACATTAATCCTTGCAGTGTGGTTACCTCCACGCTGCAAGGGTTAACTGCTCATTTTTTATTTTATTTTTATCTTACCGGCTTGGGAGTATAACCCTTTTTAAAAAAATTTGCACTTAAAAAAAGGAGAATTATGAGGCGAGTGCTTTTCACTCATCTTCATAATATGAGCCGACCTGTGACAATGAGACTGTCACAGGTCGGCTCAGTAGATCGGGAGGTGAGCGAACACATACCGGCGTTCGCTCACTTCTGGGTCCTGTGCCGGCAGAGAGCCGTGACAGGGGAGTGACTGGATTCTCCCCTCCCCTGTCCGATCCTCCAGCGCTGACTGGCGGAACGGACGGGGGAGGGTACAGCTAGCTCTACTTCTAGATAGGCCGAGCCAGCTGTCACTCACGCAGCTGGGCGGGTCCAGACATAATTGTCGGGATCCGTTTCAGCTGCGGCGGTCTCAGCATACCACGAGCAGCAGCTTGAGGGTTAAGAAAACTTTTGCCTGGAGTTCTTGAATTCCGGTAGCAATTGCTTTGTGAATACCCTTCTTGTGGTTCTGTGTGACCTGGAATACTTTAATTACTGCCAATATACATTGGTCCAAATAGCACAATAAACAGCTTGACTTTTACATAGTCACAGTTGTAGAGGTTGCAGCTTTATATACAATGATGCTGTTTTTAGGAGAATAAGGAGATGTGGGCTTTGTACTATTTGTGAAATGAGGTCAGTATAGGAGATGACTGTTTGGTTGTTCCACATGCATGAGCCTGCACCAAATAAATAGACAATTACAGAGCCAACAAATCATTTTAAATGATCTTCTGAGTTTTTACATTTCAATAAAGGCTTGATGTATGCGTGCAAACACCCTGGGGAAGGGAATAGCTGATCAGAACCATAATGAAATGTTATTTATTTTTTCTAAGCAACATAGTGAAGGTCCCAGTTATAAATGATATCTGCATTAGCTCTAGGTAAACTGAAACAATAGACCCAAAAGGATCACTTGTGGGAATTTGGTTACCTATTTTAATTCTTTGTACAAATGAGACAAGTTACCCCCTATGTGCAGTACTCCTCCCTCCTAACTTAGAGCAAGAGACATTTCTGGCAGGCAGGATTACACAGGAAAGAGCAGGTCAGAAGATTAAGAGAACAGACAGCACATCCGAGTGAACATGTTTTTCCACTAACAATAGAAATACTTGAGAGTTGATATTCAGCAATATCATTTTTTTCGGGAACACAACGTCCTCATTACTCAAGCTCTGGCATGTACTCTAAAATCACAACAAATCACAATTGATATGGTGTCAATGCCTCCCGAATACTTAGTATACAAACACTAGGTATGCCCCAGTAAATATAACACAATTAGGGACAGATGGACACTTGTAACCCATTAACAATAGCAGACACTTAGGGGTGTAGTTATAAATGAGAGCTATTTGGACTGTAAAACTCTGTAAATGTTTATTCTCTGTGAACGGAGACAAAAACGAACGTTCTTAGTATATTTTAGGGCTGCAACAACTAATCGACATAATCGATTATTGAAAAAGTTGTCAACTTTTTCAATAATCCATTAATCGGCTTCCGATCAGTTGGCCCTGTTCACAACTCCACATGCTGTGCGCCGCACCTCCTCCCCACCTCACGCTCGCCGCTGCCAGACCCGCTCGCATCCACACGCCGCACCTCCTCCCCGCCTCACATTTCCTGCCCATCCACATCCCCGATCGGCAAGGGACGCGGATCTTTCTTAGTCACGTGTAAAACCACAAACGGGGTTATTCACAAAAGGGTGAAGAGTTTGGAGAAGGCAGGAGAAGTGAACAATCTAGGACAACATAGCTGAACTGAAAAGTGACCTGAATTGGAGAATGTTTCTAAATCAGCTATGTTGTCCTAGATTGTACTCTTCTCTCCATCCCTTTTGTAAGTAACCCTGGAAAATACTACAAAATGGGCACTAGATGGCAGTGATGAGCATAGGAAATAAATCCTTCTTTGCTCCTCAGCTCCATCTAGTGGTTTTATTGCTTGTTAGCTCCGTATGTGATAGCACACATACAGTGACAGATCCTCTTTATGGGGACATCAAGGGTCTATTAGACCCCTAATGTCACCTATGGACTCCCAAATAAGATGATGAAGCAGTGATCTGCTTCACCAGCAGCTTATCCAGCTACAGCAGCCAAAGAAATGAATGAGTGACACCGGAAGTGATGTAATACACATCACTTCTGGGTCCAGTGATTAAAGCGGAGATCAGCCACTGGGAGTGTGCGGATCTGCCTCCAATCTAGGAGTACAGACCCTCCGTGCTGGCCCCAGGCCCACACTGGGGACAGCGGAGCATGGGACAGCTGGAAGAGGGGATGAGGGAGCCATGGTTGCCACTCAGGCTGAATTGTAAACATGTCTATCGTTGTCCATTTCAAATACATGTTGATGGGACAAATAGTTTACACAGTACAGTCCTCAGGTCAATGTTTTAGTTCATTAAAGGCCTTATAAAAACATAGAAGCTCTGGGAGGTGGGATGAAAAGCATGTCAAAGAAAAGGGAATTGCTTGAACATAGCCTCCTCATATGTAGTACTCCAACATAGTCAAACTCACTACAGCCATCAGGTGCAACAGTGCCATCTGCTGGCCAGGCTGCACCATGCTGATACTAGTGTGAATGTTACTTAGTAGGTTGGTGCTGACTATTCCCATGCTCATCTGCATCGCCAGTTCTGCAGAAAGTGGCTTAGTAACTACCATGCATCCAAATAAATAACTAAACTAACCTCAATTCACTAAGGTAAAAATGTCATTATTTGCCACAACAATCCTTATTTTCTATGCCGAGAGCCGATAAAAGCGGAAAATAGTTATAGAAAGTAATGCATTACAGCTGAGTAAATTGAGCATTTTTCTCAATTAGACAATGTTTGAGGAGCTGGAACGTGTACAGTACAAATATGGGGAGTGCTGCTCCCCAAGTTTAGAAGCCAAGTGGGACTGAGGATCAGGCGAGTATATTTTCTTTAGTTTAGCCTCTAAACCAAAATGAGCATTTAACCCTTGCAGTGCAGGAAAAGCCCCACTGCAAGGGTTATTTTTTACATTTCCTGGAGTTCTTCCTTAAAAGGAGAACTATGGGGTTAAGGCTTTTCCCCATAGTTCTCCTAAGAGTAACGGGAGGACACAAAATGGCGTCCTCCCGTCACCCAAAGCTCAATATACCGCAAGCTACAGCTCGCGATATACTGAGACGCCGCAGCCGGAAGGATCCCCACAATTCTGTCTGGAACCACCCAGCTGCGTGAGTGACAGCTGGCTCTGCCTATCTAGAGGCTGAGCCAGCTGTACCTGCCCCCTCCCGCGTTCATTACGTCAGTCAGCGCTGGAGGATCGGACAGGGGAGG